TGAAGGCTATTGTGGCTGGTTAGCGTGTTCCATTTAGCTTGCCAACAACAGCACCTCGCCAACTAGCTGTGTGAGTTAACCATATGTCAAGGAGCTTCCAGCACCACTTATTTTTTGGGGGCATGCAAATACATTTCTAGTGAAACCGGACACTAATACACCTCACACACTCTGGCACAAACACACTTTTTCTCTCTAAGTGTATATCATTGACTGCAGAAAGTGGTCTCTCTCACTGTTTCCACCCTCTCTCTCGCTTTCAGCTCCGCTACCCACTTTAGTATTCATTTAAAGCACACTTCCTCGCCTCTCTCTCATTCTCTCCAATCACCTCTCTCTCTCTCTCACACAGACACGCGCGACGCCCCGGCACTCACCATGCCCTGCTATTAGGCTGTCAGTTAGTCAGGCCAATAGAATAAGTGGCGTGGATTAGGCAGACACACACACAGTGAGGGAGGATGGACAGAATACTAAACAGAGTGGGGCATGAGGTGACAGACATCCTGTCATAAAGCTCTCTCTCTCTCTCTTTCTCTCTCTCTCTCACTTGTACACACACACACACACAGCAGAGGAAACAATTATAGCCACTCAGACAGTCGATAACAGTGAGACATAATCAACTTAGTGTCATTTTTTTTCTTTTCTTGACCTCCTGTCATCCTTTCTCTGTCATTTCCTCCAACTACTCGTCTTTTGCTCTTCCATCTGCTTTTTTTGTCTTTCTATCTTACTCGTCCTGCTCCTTTTCCTCCTCTTCCTCTGCCTCATCTCATCTAGACAGGAGTGATGAACGAGGGAACAGACGACGGGACTCTTACCACACTTTTGTCCTTCCACCTTCCCTTTGCCTAAAATCCTCTCCTTTTTTCTCTTTTTCTCTCCTTCCTTCTCATCTTCTATTTTATGCCTTAGTCTTCCCTTTATCCTTGCCTCCTATTCCTTCAAGGTCCCTATGTCTTTTTTCTGTTCCCTTCTGTGCTCATTTCTTCTTCCTTGTCCTTTATCCTACTTTCCTCCTCTATTTTCTCTCTTCTTCTTCACTGTCTTCCTATCTTTCCTTCTCCATATCCATCTCACCAATCCTTCCTTTACCTGCTCCACTCCTGCCCTACATCACTGTCGTCATTTCCCATCTGTCCTCCTCACCTTTCCTCTCCTTCATCCCCCTCTTTCCTCCTCCTTTTGTCTCTTATTCTTGTCTCAGCTCCCCGCACCCATACTCCATTCTCCTCCTCTCTTTTTTCTGCCTTCACTGCCTCCTCTTCTTTCCTCGCCTCTTTGACCAGCTCAGTTCTTCCCCTCCTCTCCTCCCAATTCTTTCATTCTTTGCCCCTGCCCTCTCACCTCTTCCTCTCATGTTCTCCTCACCTTCACCGATATTTACTATTCCTCCTCCTCTTTCCTCTGCTCACCTTTACCTTTCCACTCTTCCACTCTCCTCTGTTTGTATGACACTGTCTCTGTCACATGAAGCACCACACACACACACACACACACACACGCCCCACTAATCACATAAAGGGCTCTATAATTGGGGAATTGAAGGCTGTTGATTTGATCAAATCCAAACACTTCACTATGTCCCTCCAACATGTCAACACCGGGCAAACGAGTCAAGGAGAGACAGAGAGAGAAAGTGATATATGGTCACTCCCTTTCTCTTTCTCCTTTTGTTCTCTTTCTCTCACTCTTTCCCCTTCTGTCCTTTCTTACTGCCAAAGAAATCTAATTAAGTGGCATATAAATTGTAAATTGGTTTCCCTGAAAACATACACACACACCTCAACGCCCTAGTTGTCACCTCTAGATCCGACCGGATGTTCAACAATTAGCGATCACTGAAGCTCAAAGGCATGAATCAGGAGCACAGCTGCCCCCAACACACAGGCAGAATGAAAAGGACGGCCTTGAGTAACACATGCCTTTGCTTTGTTGAACACCATGTTGCTGCAAAAGTGAAGAAAGAGACATTTTTAGAGCGCAAGTTCCCCCAAATCACAGCAAGGAAGTCTTCATACCAAAATGACAAAACAGATCATCTGTCAATGCTTTTCCAAATGACCCAAATCAGAATCTTCAATATGCTTAAAGCTACAGATTAATTGTTCAAATAGGCCTTTGTTTTCTCTGCACAGAGCCAAACCAACTGTTTCCCCCTGTTTCCAGACTTTATGCTAAGCTAAGACAACCGACTGCTGGCTGATGCTTCATATTTGTGGTACACGCTTGGTAGTGGTACAATGTTCTCATCTGACTCTATCCCAAAATGTTGAACTATTCCTTTAAGGTTTGGTTAAGTTTAAACACTTCAGGTTCAGGTTAGGGAACAGTCACCTTCATGGATAAAGAAAGCCAACACAGACGGTTGATGGGAGATGGGACAAAAACTGCTGCTTCAAGTGCTATCTATAGCCAGGTAGATGCAGTTTCAGTTTAATTTCCTGAGGTGTTGAGCTATTAGCTGAAAGTTCTACCTCAGTGAGAGCGATTGAGCTGTTTGGCCAGGCAACCACACACCCCCAGACCTCCTATATTCGGACGAATGAGAGGGCGATTACCACTTCTACAAGATGTCAGTAAGACTGACTGACTGACAGACACAGACAGACTCAGGGTGAGATCATTTTCTTCATCACTGACTTTCAGTCTATTATCATTATCGCTGAATGGGTTTCTTCACATTTATTCTAAAAACCAAACCCAGCAGTTGGAATTGGAATAAGAAAGATTATTAGAATCACTCTGGTCGCTCTGTGAACATGTGTGAAAGAGAGAGAGAGAAGAAGAGAGAGGAGAGAGAGAGGAGAAGAGAGAGAGTGGTGTGGTGTGTTGTGTTTTTGGTGTGTGTGTGTGTGTGTGACGATGGATAGATCTGATGTACCAATGTCGCCCCCTAACGGCACAGGAGCAGACAGTCAGTGAAATATCGCTCAGCTCTCTTCCCCAGTCTCTCTCAAGCGCACACACAGACACGCAAACGCACACACGCACACACACAGACGCTGCACAAACACACACTCCCAATAAAATAACTGGTTATGGGCAATAATAATCAGGCAGATTTCAGAATGACACACATATCCCAGCAAAACTCCAAGTCTGACTTGTAAAACAATATAAGAAGAAATAAAAAGTCAAATCTCCAGGTTTCTCCTTCTTAACCCGACCACATCCTCATGAGCACATAAAGCTGTACTGCAATATTTACTATGAATCTACATTGAAGACCAGCTCTATTTCATTAGTTAAAGGTGGGTTTAAACTGATACTTGTTATTTCACAATAACGCGCAATGTAGCGGTTTTCTCCGTTGCACCATTACGCACGGAGAGAGGGACGGCTGCTCCGCCGCGCTGCAGCTCAGAGCCGGAGCCAGAGACAGAGAGAGGGAGGGAGGGAGGACTCACTGTTTGGAGCCAGTCTTCCCTTCAAAGTAGCCTCTTTTTGCAACCTTACAAGTCATGAATACCAAGCAGAAGGTGCCGAGAGAGAGGCGCACACAGAGCCGACAGGCTGCCGCAGCAGTCTACTGAAAACATCACTGATGTAAAGAGATTGTTCCTGCTACCGCAGCCTCAACTTGGCTTACTGATTGATGCGGAGTTGCAGCATAGGACACACTCAGACCTACGATGTGATTATGTCTCATCATTTATAACAGTCTTTTTTAAAAACAGACAGAAAATCCGGTTTTAACTCATGGATCATGCGAGACAGCAGATTATTATCATGGCCAGACACAATCTGCTTTTATTCTGATTATACAACCACTACATGTTTAAACTTATAAATAAGCGCACTTCGATTCATCTCCATATTATCCTGAGGCTTTTGTGTGTTTTATCGAGGAATGAAGCTGGATATGTCTGTGGGAGCAAACTTTAAGTCAGCTCTGCTTTAATCCGGCTCCTGGCTGCTTTTATTTCTCTGTAAAGCTTCTTTTTCTCATAGTTGATAATCACCATCATCACTGATTCGATGTAAGGCTGGAAAACATTGCGAGCCTGCAAACTCTCCAAACCTCTCCGGCGCGTAACAAGTGCCAGACAAGTGCTGGCTCCTGACTGCCGTGCAGAGGTGCTGCTGCGGGGTGTGAGACGATCCCGAAACTCCGGGAGATGAAACTGAGCAGCTGCATATTGACTGAAAGATTAATACAGCATCGGGTGGTTTTTGAGAAGCAAACGGAGAAGGCGATGTGTAAATTAGATGTCAGATCAGTTATTTGCGACTAAAAGTTGAATAAAAAAGAGTGAATGGACTATATATCCCATGACACTGCTGTACAGTAATACTTGTGCTTGATTGTTGTAGCACACGACAACATATTAATCTCATCATTGAATAAATAAATCAGGGGACGCTTTCACAGACAGTTTGCGCTGAGACGGAGCCAAGACGCACCGGTCCGCCCGCATCTAAAACACCCAGCGAGTTCACAGCGAGACCTAACCTACATAAAAACATAACAACATCCAAGTCACATATTACCCCTCAACAGCATACATTCCGGGAAGCTTCATGGAGCTAAACCTCCCAAAGTGTCCAAAACTTCACACCAAACCTCCAGCGCGCACACCAGACCTGTGAGGGAAGAGCCCGACATGAAGCAAACAACAACCCATCATCAGCACAACCCGCTCTATTCTGTCATAAATCACTTATTTCCATAAACAAGTGATTTATGGTATGATATATATCACGACCCCTGCGCGCACACACGGCCATAAATTCTATTCAACAACTGAAAATGTGCTCCAAACAAGACTTTAGGGATGTTTTACCATCACAATATCCAACAATATAACATTTGCAGATGCATGGTCCGCACAAATCAACGTGTATGTGCATCTCTTATATTCTCTTATGCACCACTTCATCGCCGTGGCTTTCACTGCCCATTCAGACTCAAAAGAAATGATTAAAGCGCACCAAAACGCAGACAGTATGGGTGATTTTAAAAATCCACAAATTGAACAAACAGGTCGCTTTACCTGGAAAGAATTGTCCGGCAGTAAATCCCAAAAGTACAAAGTAGAGGAAAGCTGCAGGCAAAACGAGAGAATAACTCCGTTTATCCATTTCTTTTCTTCTTTTTCTTCGTGTTTTGCTCAGTCGTGCGGATTATTTTACATACTCCCGTCTGGTCCTTAAACTGGTTTTCCTTAGTTCGGGACAGCAGTGATAACAACAGTGAGAACAGTAATAAAATCCTCGCATTGGTGGACAACAAGAGACAGAAAGACACAAGTAGAAGCAGAGAGAGAAGTTGGAGGCAAATAAACAGGAGCTCTCTCCTTTCTTTTCCTCTCCTCCCGGGTCCGACAGAGCGAGCCTGTGTGTGTGTGTGTGTGTGTGTCTCTCTCTCATATAGGAGAGTAAGCCAGCAGCAGCAGCAGCAGTAGTACAGTGGAGCGTGTTCAGTGTCTGGATGTTTGCGTTGCCTCTCTCAGCTGCCGGACGAAGCCTTACTGTAGGTATACACACACACACACACACACAACTCTGTTTTGACTATCTTTATGCTGTTTTCCTATTGTAGGCTCCTCGCTTCCGCATCCTGATGTTTTTTGCTTCTTTTACATATTAGATACACATTGAATGTCTTCGGCTGTACATTTGCGTTGAGGATTTGAGACAGTTGAGTGAGGTGATGAAGGGATTGAAATGTGCCGTTTGCCAGCAAGATCTTTCCATCACTTCAGCACGTTCACACATTTGCATGCAGAATAGATTTTCATACAGTATTTTCATAACACCCGAGTACCTGCTTTGTTTATGTGGTGATTTGCGCTCAGTGTTTCCAATAGAAGGTGCTGACCATCTTTAATCTATGTGCAGGTGTTCTTGTGTGTGTTTGTTTGTGTGTGTGGAGGGGGGTGGCGGGGTGGAGGTGCAGTGGGTGTGTCGTGTCCAGTTTCCAATAGTGAGGAACCTGAGCTGGCTGCTAGTATGACATGACATGGGACTTTACAGGCAGATTCCAGGAGGATAGGGGGAAAACAAGAAAGAGTGTGAGAAAGACAGATTAAAAAAAGGAAGGACTTGTGCCGATTGATGCCGTTGAAGACCGATATATTCCCGCTTGTGCTTCTATCTTGTCTAGATAATGGGTTAAAAAAAGCAGGATAGCTTGCTAAATTTGTTGGAGAGCATTCCCATGAGTGAGGAGAGAAGGTTTATGCCCCCCC